GTATAACCGTAATACTGTATCCGGTGCATAATGTTAGTTTTACATTTAAATATTTAGGCCTACATTTGAAATATTTAGTACCTTTAGTATACTGCGATTAGACAGTGGCGTATCCGAGTTTTGAAATGGAGGGGGTGAAATGATGGCGGGGGCGAAGGTCAAATGAGGAGAGCTTTAAAGGGTGAGGTAATTTAAAGTGATTTCTAACTACTTGAGTGTGATTTTCTTTTACGGGGAGGGGGAACCCGCGCACCACTCAATATACGCCACTGCCATCGATTCCAAGTATCGATCTATAGGTCTTGATCCTATAGTCATATGTGTCTTGTTATGTGGCGTCGGATGTGAGGAACATCCTATGACTAAATCGTAAACCAAAGTAGCGACGTTTCGCAATGGTATCAAGATTATTGAATTGGTTTCATTAAAGTGGGCCATGTTTAATGGACAGGAACTTACCTCGGCAATTTGCACATATAGTAGCTATGATTTGAATATCCTGGATACGCCCGTTAAATACATACATACATAAGTACGGTACATAGTTGCTCATACCAAAACAGGCCTACTTAAATAACTTGAATTAATTTTCCCCTTTAGTTGGCGTCGTTCATGTTAACGCCTACCTTTTCCTAGCTTTCCTTAGGGTAGTCACTTTAAAGACACTATCAAATAAATCTAAAAATAATAAGTAATACTCATTGAAATTGCACATAATTTATCAACATTTTATACGGTCACAAAAAAAAAACAGATTTCAATGATTTAAAGGCCTTAACCTTATTTTGTCAGAATATAAAAGTGGACTTCAATTAATACTCTGTCTAAGACCTGTCTCTTATACACATCTAGATGTGTATAAGAGACAGATTTTAGCTTACTTACAAATTGTGAGTTTGTTAAAATGATGGATAGAGCTAGGAATAAAATATTTACGATAAGTGTGGCGCATGTGATGGACACATAGGGGCGGCAATATGCTGAGGTGGCCAGGAGTGGGCGTGGTCGGGCGTCGGTCAAAATATCTTGACAGTGGTCCAGTGGGCGAACCCCCGAAAAACATGACAAATTTAGGGGGTTCCGACGCTTATTCTATCGATTTTCAGATAGATAATCTCTACTAAAGAAAATACATATCATTTTTTACGGGAAAACCTGGGGTGGGAGCAAGAAAATTATCTGGGGAAATACCCCTGCCCCCCACTGGAGCCGTCACTGGGTGGTAGTGGTGATAGTGTTAGTGGTTAGTAGTGGTTTTCTACTAACCACTAAGTGAAATGAATATACTTATACCACTATTGTTAGAATCAAATTCTAGATTCTGGATTACATTAACAAAAACTTGAACTGTTGACCGTACTACAACCGTGGTCAATAGCTAGCTATTTTTGAAAAGTTGTGCCTCCCATCATGTAATTTGTGAACAATACAGTACGGCCAAAGGCTCTAGTAAGCATTCCAAATTACTGTTAGTCTTTCATGCCTGATGATTGTCACCAATGAATTATTAAGATTTTCAGCCTTAAATGCTGAAAATTGGCATAGATTAGTTAATCAATATGTTAGTAGCAAAATGTGTAACTCTGAATTATCTTACGTGTTTCGCAGATGTATTTCAAACGAGTATTACAGTCCTCCGATTGCCATTTGTTGTTATTTCCTCCTCTCATGTAAACACATTTACCTGTAGATGATGGGTGCACGTACATCAGGTCCAGTTAGCATGCAATAAAGATGTTATCAATATAAGAGAGATAAAGATGGCTGACATTAGAATATATAAATAATATATAAATATTTTATCATTGAGTCTTTCCGCGTATAAGCCTACATACAGAAAAAAATGATGAAAAGCTCACAAATACGTTGAATCTGGTTGAATGATTATCAGTACAGTACAATTAACCGTACAAATCTCCCTATAATTAAAGACCCCTCCAATTAAAGATCACCTACAATTAAACACCACTTTTCTGTCGTCCTAAATTAACAAATGTCTTATCTTTTGTTATTCTATTTAGAGACCAAAGTAGCGAAAAACCAAAAGTGGTCTTTAATTAGATGGAGATTTGTATATTATCTTTTTTTTTGACTTGGTGTACATATACCGTATAACGTACCGTAGTCTATCCACAATTTAACAGATAATAAAAACCATAAAGTCTTACGGTCACTAATACTGGGTCGGTCACTTGGCTGGAAATTTTTGTAATTCCGTGCTGTATTATCTATCCAGGTAAATTCTGGTGAGTTCGCTACCTTAAACAAATGTTAGTCGATGTGTTACTGATAATTATTCAGAGAATCAATAATCTTATATTGTATTATGATGAAACTTAATAGGCTTACTGTTGTTAGTAAAATTGATTAATTCCGATGAGGCTTAGTAATAAAAAAACACCTATATATAAGCCCAATCCCACATCTAATCGTTGTTAATGGTTGGAATACCTTTTCCAACCATTAACAACGATTAGATGTTAATGGTTGGAAAAGGTATTCCAACCATTAACAAGTCTTAGGCCTACTTATTGACTATTTATACTGGTTATTTAAATTTTTGATAAATAGAAATTAATTATTTGAAATTGAAAAGTAAACCAGTCAAAATGAATCCAGTGCGAACACTGTTTTAGCAAAAAATATGCACTTACCTTATGAAGCCCAATCCACATGTCGTCGTTGTTATCCGGTGCATTGGCTATTTCATTTTGCTCGGACATGTCGTCAATCGTAACAAGACTACATGGTACGTTATCCCATTCTGACTTAGTCACCGAAAACGTATAATCAGCGTTTATTGTCACTAAGTCTTTAAATGAAACATAAAATAGGACTAAATAAGTAAAAAACACATCACACTAGGCCTACTGTCATTATTTTAATTTCTTTCATTGTGTAGCCCTACATCTTCTCTTAATGCAGTCCTATATTATGTCTTCTTGGAGATTTACCTTAGCCGATATTAACTCAGACGCAATCTCTTGCAATGTGGTAAATCAGACAGCAGTCCGTAGTAAAGAAACAACCAGGGGAACATCTATCGTGAATTAATGTTTTACAAAAAGCCTGCCTCAATTAATTTTATTCCTGTAGCAATTATGGAATTAGTGGTCGTAATATGGTGGAAATAAATGTAGTCCTTTAAAGTGAGACCATCGAAAGCCAAACTCTTTGTTTATACTAAAGCAAAAATATGAAGATATTGACTCTAATATTATAAATTCCAATTTTACTTTAACAAACGTCACACGGTAGCACATAAAACCCAATTGTACTAGGATTAGAATTGTGGGGAAATACTCTTCACAGTCGTAGGATTTTACTCCGGTGTGACATCGAAGCTATTGTCTACATTCTCATTAAGAAATCTTCTGCAAGGCCAGTAATTATAATAACTTTATTGTTTCCCTTTTGTAACAGAGGCACAGTCGCTAAAGAGATGTGCAACAATAATTCACAATATAAGAGTAATAATAACATATGTACATTTTTGTCTTGTTATAGAAATTTCTTACTTAACTAATACACTGTCTAATTTATAATTTAGGCCCCCTATCAGTATTTTGAATTTTTTACTTAACCAATAACGAAAATAAATTATAATACGCATCCCAAGAAATGAAATACACGCCACCGCGCTCGACACCGTTCACGCCATTGCCAGGAATTCCTGACGATGCGTGACCAATGCCGAAACTCGACGGTGCGCATTCCATCTCCCGGAGAACGCATTACACTTTATCTGAATAAAAAAAAATGGCCCCGGAAAAAATGACCCCGGTAAAAATGGCCCCATAAGACAGGTAGGTAAAAATGGCCCCAATGAAAAATTCGGTAATAGAAATGATATTTTTTTTTTAATCTTCAAATATTTAAATACTGTATAAGCAAGAATTGAATCAAGAAATAAAAAATAGCCCTCAATTATAAAATACAAGAAAAAAAATTAATAATAAATAAATAAATGCTGTAAAATACCCTGTAGTGAAAATTTAATTAATAAATCAACATAAAGAATATACATATTTGAGAACTAAAATAAATTAGTTTTTAGCTCCAATGAATAGGTCTAAGTATTTTTTAAAATTATTAATATTATTAGATATTATTTCTATATTTGCGGTCAATTATTAATATTATTATTATTAATGGCTCTGATGGGAGGCTCTAAAACATTGATTCGGCACCAGTTTTGAACGACGAACTTGCAGGGAATGTTATAAACCATTTACGTGAAATTTGAAATAAAAATTTCCAATAACGTGGCGAATACCAAC